CTTTCATATGACTAGAGTCTCGTCCAGTTATGTATCGATCGCTACAATAATCGCGAGACAACCGCCAAGAGTAGCGATGACTCGAGCGGCACATCCACGCTCTCCACCCAAACGTTGGGCCGTCTGTCCAAAAAGCCGGACCCCATATCATTGGCACTGAAGGGCTCACTATTGAACGCATCGTCGCACAGGTCTTCGTTACCAGAGATACCACTGTCTCCTCGAGAGAAAGAGATTCTCGAGACTACAAACTTTCCGATCCCACCGCCCGTCCCCTATCGCACAGCACACGCCGACCGTCTCAATCATTCTCTCTCATCAGATGATGTCCTCAACAACTCATCTAATGATGTCTTTGACGGACCGATGAAGGCTCCGCCAAAGCCACCCCTTCCTGTTATCGACGGGCGGCCTCTCTCAGTGTCCGATATACTAGAGTTTGGCGAAGAAGAGGGCGTTCCGCCGCCTCTTCCTCCCAAACGGTTTCCCCGACCCGAGAAAGTCCTGTATTCGCAGACATCGTTTGATTGGTCCCAAACGTGTCAGTCATCCAATTGCACGTCAAACTGCAATAGTGTTGACTCGTGTCTCAACTACTCGGGTCTCAGCCATCTGTCAGCTGACGATCTCCTGTCGATATCCAGAAGTGACGCCAACTCTGATTATCGACGCTTTCGGTCGCAACTGAACTCATATAACACCACCTCTTCTGAAGAGAATAAGAGCACGAATTCATTTAATTTCAGTCATCGCTATGAATACAAGAGTTCTGTCACACAAACCAAGACTCAAACCATTCATTCGGTGAACAATGAATCCAAAGACAGTCTCACGTTTTCGTTGAGTTCTCCGCCCTTTCATTCGTATCGAATGGATAGTCTGATCGACAAAATGAGGACATTTAGTACCGGCGAAGACACAGTGGACGGCGATACTCCTCCTCAGTTACCCGTCAAGATGAGACCAAAGCTAAGTCTGTCTAACATTCAAAACATATTAGATTCCAAACCAATGCGTCCGTTGTCTGAATACGACAATATCATCGGAACTCCAGATTCTAGTCATTTGAGTCACAACTGCGGGCATGACATCATCCAAAGGCTACCAAATAATCAAATAAACATTTATTGTCTTCAACCGAATTCATGTCCACATTCGAGCTCATGTCCACATTTCATGAACAACGCGCCCACTCTGCAAGTGACTGATAGCTCGGACTTGGAGAGCAAACCTCCGCCACTGCCGCCCAAGAGGCGCAATATCATGGCGTACATGGAAATGGTGGACAGCTATAACGGTCCCGAAAGCGCCGAGTTTTACCGGCACTCAATGCATACGTACGCCTCCATCGAGAATCAATGGCAGGCAATGGAGCGCTCCATCCACTCGTCGTTCATTCAGCAGCGATCCATTGCAACCAGTTTTGTGTCCGGATCTTCAGACGACTCGGTCTTTTCCTTTGGAGAGGACTCTCGATCGGAGAACTCGTCGACTCCGCCGCCGCTTTTGCCGCCAAAGCAGAGGAAGTCTGTGTTAACGGCGCTCTCGAAGCCGCCCAACGAGTCGCCCGAAATGATGCCGCGAACGAGTACTCCGGTCAGTCTTGTGCCCTCGTCTGACAGTGGAATCAGTTCCCAACCAGAGCTGACTCGTGCCGAGACGGAGGAGCCCGAGGAGGTGTCAGCCCTCGACGAGACCGATGTTTCCGTTTATATTGTGCTGAAGAACACTACAGAAGAAGGGCCTGAGATTCGCGGCGGAAGTGTTGACGGATTGATCGTTAAAGCGACTGAAGTGTCCAAAAACGGTAAAATAAATAAAATATATTTGGTTTTAACTATTTTTTCAAATATTTATCTGATATTTCAAACGAGGTCAAAAGTTTATAACGTATTAAACGTTTATTTTGATTACAATTATATAATGAAATGGTTTATTTGATAAACAGATTACTGTATTGTGTTTTATTTATAATGTAATAATAAGACAAAACCATAATTTCCTATTTCTATACATAATCTGATAATCTATGAATTGAATTGAAGCGATTTGATCGGCAAATGTCTAATGAATTGTTTGTCTCTCTGTGTGGACCGGTATGTGTTGTCCCAGATTTCATGTTTCAGGAGGCGTTCTTAACCACATACCGGACTCTACTCACGCCTATGGAACTGATTGACAAACTTCTTTACCGATACAACAAGTTTATACTCCTGTCTGATATGAGACAACGAGCGGCCAGAAACGCATTCGCACTACTGGTCCGAGTGGTCGACGATATGTGGTATGAGTTCCCTGTCTTTCCCTTTAATTCGCTTCCCTATCAATCGATAGCATATTTGTCTAAAAATAATATTTTCAACTCATCTCTCGGTTCAGAAACTTGTTTTCCCAGTGATATGCCGTGTTATGAACTCCTGTATTCAGCTATCAGTTGTTGTGTTTAGTTTAGTTTTTTATTATTCATATTTCAAATGTTTTATTTGTTTTGTTGTATCGATTGTTTGTCAGTAAATAGTGTTTTACTTCTCACACAAACTCATTCCTCCCTTTTCTCACTGTCTCTCACCCACAGCATCGGCGACTACAGTGACAAAGTGTTGGAAATACTAATGGATTTCATCTATCAACTGGTCAATCGCGGTGATCTCGCCTTGGCTAAAGTACTTCGCGCTAAATGCATCGAGAAGATGGATCAGCGCCAGCACGCACTCAACGCATCCAAAGTACTCTTGCCCTCAATTAACATCACTTCCAGACAGTACTCCTTATGTGACTTCAAGTCTGAACATTTGGCCGAACAGATGACACTTCTAGACTCGGATCTCTTTCTCAAGATTGAGGTAATCCTTAATTACAACTCAACTCAACATTTATTGCTTTTGCTTCCAAGTCTTTCTCCAAGTTTTATATCATTTATTTCTTGGCTTTTGTGCAAAAGCTTTTCCAAACGTCAACCGTTTTTCGTTTTTACTAATGTATGAAATAATTTTGTTTGTTTTCTGTGAATTCAACTCAATTTTTTCTTTCGTATATATCAGTAATCCGTTATTTAAAGCTAACTTTTTTCTGCTTCAAAACATCAAATATCAAATTAATTGCTTATATTTTATTTCAATGATTGGCTTTTAACGTTTCAAATGGTTTGTTGAGTTTTGAATGTTTGAGAATTTGCGATAACTGTAAGCATTCCTGGAAAAGTGTGTTATAAATAGCTGACACAGCGATCGGTAAAAAGTCTAAACATAACTTTTCAATCAAATTTTAGTTTTTTTTGTATCAAAGCGAGACATTACTTTATTTTTTTCAATTTTGTATCCCCTTTCATATTGATTTCATAACATGAATGAATTATTAGATATAGCATTTTTACGATATTAACAAAATGAATATATTTATAGCATTATCTGAAAATATTTTTGACATTTATTTGATATTTTACTTGAATATTTAAGCTGATCTTAATTTAGAAATAATATATTCAATATTTTGCGTTCAAACATAATGCTTTCACATTAATGACTTATTAAATAAATATTTTTATTCTCTAATAATAAGTTATTATTCAGTGAAAGCTATGCACACATTATTATTATATTGATAACTAAACATTGCATTTCTCCTTAAACTTGAATTTACTTAGCGATACAATAAATGCAAGAGATTTTGATTTGCATTTAAATTGTTTTTGTTATTCACTTCTCTGAGATCTAGAGTAAAGATTACGTTCAATGAATTCATCGATTTTTTTATTTACTATTCTTTTGAGTTTTCTATTGTTTTGAAGAATAGACTAATTTCTTGTTTCAACTCTTCACTGAATGTAATATTATGTTTAAAACTTCACTAATGTTACGATTGTATGCAATGAATAGATTCCCGAAGTGTTGGTTTGGGCCAAAGAACAAAAGGAAGAGTTGATACCAAATCTGAACACATTTACCGAACACTTCAATAACATGTCTTATTGGACGCGATCTCGTATTCTCGATGAGAAGGACGCCCGAGAAAGGGAGCGATTGGTCCTGAAGTTCATCAAAATCATGAAACATTTGCGCAAACTGTCCAATTTTAACTCATACTTAGCCATCCTGTCGGCGCTCGACTCCGCACCCATACGTCGACTCGAATGGCAGAGGAATATCACCGAAAGCCTCAAAGAGTACAGCGCTCTCATCGACTCCTCGTCCTCTTTCAGGGCCTACCGGCAAGCCTTAGCCTATACAGAGCCGCCCTGTATTCCATACATGTATGTCCCCTCACATCCCATATAAAGTTATTTTTTAATAACCAATAATTAGAGTTTTATATCAATTTCTTTATTTTGTACATTTTTATGCAAAATATTACATCCGTTTCTCAATCCATGGCTTTATCGCAAAAACTATTCAAATATTGACACATAATTCAAGTTGAGATCACAAATCATATATTTGTTGCATTTCTTATCGCAAATCAGAAAATTATTAGTTTATTAATACGAGTATTTTTTACTCAAATTCATGTCAATGAGTTGGGTTTATGTGAATAATAAGCGAATATACCGTATAATGAGAAGTATTCAAAGTATACCTAATATTTAGTTCGTAAATCTTCTTAAACAAGATTTTTCGTGCAATCATTTGACAAAAAGATTATTTTGGCGAAAAAATAGCGTTCATTTATTTAATCTTTTGTGTACTAAAAATATCCACCAAATCCTCTATGAAGCCGTTTATTATAACTGAAAACAACGGAATTTTAGGAATTTTTTATGTTTTATGATTCATTTGAAGGAATATAACTTATACTGAGATATAAGTGAACATCAAATACCAAACAAATTATATACGCTTTCAATGCTTAAGAATTTACTTTCTCTTTGTTTTTGTGAGCACTCCTTAAAAATATTACTTAATTTCAGTGTTTCTAATCATTTGTTATATGCTTTCTCTCCCATTCCCTGACCCCATGTCTGACAGTGGACTCATTTTACAAGACCTGACGTTTGTTCACATCGGGAACAATGATTACTTACCCGACGGTAACATCAATTTTGGCAAACGATGGCAACAGTACAACATTTTGGATCAAATGAGACGTTTTAAAAATTGGTATTACTTTTTATGGCCCTAATATATAGCCCATTGTTTGGGTTGTTTGTCACAAAATGACAATAAAACACATTAAACGAAACGAGTGGACGAGAAATTAAATTATTTTTTCTCGTATTCCAGTTTCTATTATGTATTCTATGCTTGATTTTAGAGATATATCTATTTTGATGGCTTTTAATTGAGTCCTCCTTTTATTGTATTTTGCAGTCATTATCCATTCAAACGTAACGAACAGATAATTGAGTTTTTTGCCAATTTTGAGGACTACTTAAGTGAGGACGCGATGTGGCAAATATCAGAGGACATAAAGCCCAGGGGTGTGACCAGAAAATGACACAACCATTCATACATTAAACGCCGTAATGCCGTACCGTTCACATGAATATTCATAGCCAGTGATGACTACAAAACACCACAACAAAGAATATATGAATATATTGTCTGAATCATAGTATTCGCGAAAATCATTTTTCAAAAACCACTTTTCATTTCTATATTTAATTAATTGTGTAATAATTT